ACACCCTCGTCTCTGCTCAGGTACAGCCCTATAAAAGGAAATTAAATGCAAAGCCCGTCTCGTTAACGCATCTCCTTCGTTCCCCCTCAGATCCCAGGTGCATTCCCGTGACATTCGGCAATGAAATACAGGCTCGTTTCAAAGGCATTCCTCTGGGCTAAGCGAACGCAGCTGAGATCTAGCGAGCCCATCTCCTCGCGGGGATCGTAAACCGGCAGACATTTTAATGCTCGTGAGGGCTGGCTCTGTAATTTTATCTCTGTTTTAATTTTAACTAATCCTGAGTAGTGCTGAGAACCTGCCTTCCTGCGATGGAGAAGAGCCCGCCCCCCCCCAGGCAGGTTTGGTGTTGAGTTCTTCCGTCTTTAATAGAAAAGTGGAAGTTTTTGCTGGAAAAAGGCTTTTCTAACAGTGAAATTAATGGCAGCCCCAGTTGCCCTTCTGCATGTCTTTGTGCCGAATGCTCTCATGCCAAGGGTCCTGGAGAGGGATGGCTGGACAGCCTGCAGCTCTCCCTGCTCCGGGCTGGGCTCCAGGAACCGCAGCAGAGCAGCTCCGGGACATCAAGGTGATGCCATCCCTTGCTCCTACACAGCAGTCGGGGCGTCCCCCGACAGCCCCGGCACAGTGTGGGCTGGTTGTGGTCAGACCGAGCATCCCCAGCCCCATCTGGTCCTGCATCCTTACCCAGAGCCAGCGCGTGAGATCAGCCCTGGGATTTGGGGGGATGTCCCACATCCCTCATCTAGGGCAGCTCCTCCTGCCTCGGGGCACCAAAGCTGGAGCCTTCAAGGCACCAGACATCTCTTCTTCTACCCCAGCTCTGCGCTCGTGGGAGAAGACAGCAGCCTTGGGAGGAAACTTCTGACCTCTAAACCTGCTCCACGCCAGAGCAAGGAGCAAACCCCAGAAGCATCCTGCCAGAGTGCGCGGATAGGAGCACGGCTGGTGCTTAACATAGCCCTTCACCGAATGGAAGGAAGAAAAATCACCCAGGCACAGATTTGCCAGGATTTGGGGAACTCTTCGGCTCTTCTGGGAGCTCAAACCAAAAGTGAAAGCAAGGTGGCTCCTGCCAGCGCGACTCCTCGCTCGCTGGACCTGGCTAAGGAGGAGCCCAGCGCCTGGGCTTGCTCTAACCCAGCCCGGGGGTCCTGGGCCACCTTGGCCAGTTTAACCAGCAGTGAGTGAATGGACCCACTTCTCGCTGCTTTTAAAGGACTGATCCAGGGTGGCAAGACAGCTCAGCCAGAGGGGATTGTGCTTTCTTGCCAGTCCGCAGAGGGATCTCAGCTTTTTGAAGCAGATGCTGCTTTAAATGCATTTTCTGAGCAGATCTGAATAGGGAAGAGAGCTCTCCCCAAGCTCCTTTAATACCCTGGTGCTTTAATACCGTGCAGTGAGACATATTTATAAATAAAAGAAAATGAAACATCCACCCAACAAAGCAGACTCCAAGCAAGAGCAACAGTCCCCAAAGGGAAGATTTATCCAAGGTCTTTCAGGATAGACAATTAAGTGAGGGCAACGCGAGAAAGACAATAAATCCAGGGAGACAAATGAAGGGCAAGAAATATCACCCCTTACAACTCCACCAGTCTTTCCCCCCCAGCAGTTTCAGCTTCCAGCCTCATTTTCTCCTCCAGCAGGAAAAGAAACCATTTTAATGTGCTCGAGACTGTGCTGAAAAACCGTGAGCTTGGGGGACTTCAAACATTATTTTTCTTGCCTGAGGGCTCAATCCCTCTTTCCCCGGATGATGTCTCCTGGTTAACAAGGGCATATCCACATCCAGCTATTCCAGCGCCCTTTGATATTTAATAGGCTGAGTTCCAGTGGAGACCAGTATGCCGGGGCTCGCAGCAGCCATTAGCTGCTTTACATTATAAGATTGCAGTCCCGTTGCAAGTGCTGGGTTAATTCACTTACAGGAAAGAGACGCAGCCTTTCCAACTCCAGCATCGCTTCCCCTGTGGCTGTTCCCTCTTTTTGGTCTTTGCTTAGCAAATCCTCCTCCCGTTACTTCCCTGCCCAGCTGGGAGTTGCTAATTGGTACCCGAATACCGCTGCAGGTCGGCACAAAGCAGATTATTATCTCTTCAGCTGAAGGATGCTTCGCCTCAAGGCAAGCACCGGAGCCGCTTGGGATGAATATTAACCAGCAATGATAAGCACACTGAGAGTCCCACGCTCACAGGACATGAGGGATTTTACACGGAGGCTTTTTCATTTAGCAGAGACGTCGTTAAGATCACTAAGTGTCTTTAATTCCTCTGTTTATCATGGGAGCACAATTCCTGCCAAGCACTCAGCTTAAATAAACAGGTCTACAAGTCAACGACCGGACGCAGAGCTGCACGTCAGCCCACACACGCAACAGGGAGCAGACACGCGTGTGCCGAGAGCAACGGCCCCGGGTCTGGGGGCGATGGCGAGGGGACTCAAAAACCCCACACCTCCCCAGAGCGAAAACGCCTTTAGCTGGGCTTTAACGAAGCGCACAGCTCGTCAGCATGGACTTCGTCAGCACAGTGCTGAAGCTCTGACAAACCATCCGCCAAAGAAACCCACACTCCTGCTGATTCCACCTCTCTTGCGAACCTAGGAGCAGGGCAAAGCCGTGCCGGGCAGCCCCCGTCTTTTGGGAGCATGCACAGAGCACCCAGCATCCTCCGAAAGAGGATAACCCCGCTGCAAACTGCAAAACTCACAGGGCTGCAAAAATGTGATGCCCAGAAGAGGGTGAGGGAGGCGCTGGGCGGGATACGGGCTTGATCTGCTCAGGGGGCTCAGCATCCCGACTGTCCCTGGCAGCTTTTTGGCTTCTCAAAGTAAGAACAAGCAACCACAGGCTTCGCTTCTGGCTGTCCCGAAGGGGAAGGTGTCCCCGGAGGCACCCAGCCACGGCTAAGGGGCAGCTATCCTGCTTCCAGCAAGGACAGTCTTTCTCATCAGTTTTTAAACAACCGGGTCTGCCCCAAATAATTGAAATCTCTACACGGATGTAGAAAACTGGCAGTTTTTCTGTTGGTTAGAAGCAATCTTAGCAAGGTTTGCAGGAAAACGAGAGTTTAAATGTGGCACACCCTTAAATGAAATCCCCCTGGGAGCCGGTCAACATCTTTAGCCAGTGGCTGCACCTATATCTGCCGATCTGGCCTGAAATTCAGGGCTGTTACGTGGCAAAACCCAAAGGCAGGAGGGTCAGCGGTGCTCATGGGGGGGGACACCAGCCGTGGCAGAAGGTTCCTGACCGCCCGGGCATCATTTGGGCCCCTTTGCAGGAATTTCCTATGATTTATTTTGTCTCAGAAAGGCCGCTTTCCTCCCTTTCCCACTCCCTCCGGCCTTTCGAAACGCAAGATCAGGGTGGAGAGCAGATTTTTTTTTTTTTTTTTTTTTCACTATGGTTTTAATGGATATTCTGGAAGGTTTCAGTACAAGCTAAACAAACAATGTTGACATTCTGGTAATTGAAATGTTTCGCTGAAGTTTGAAGGCACCGGGGAGCCCATCATCCTCACCAGGCTGCACCCACGACGAGGCGGGCACCGGCGGTCTCACATCGGGCTGCAGCATGGCACCAGCTCCCTGCCCCAGCTGGGGGGTCAGCACGGCTTTAATTAGGGTCTTGCACCCGCTCGGCACTTCTCGTCACAGGGTCTGGGTTGGCTCACGTTATAGATACGCTGCTTCTGCCCGCAGGGAGACCACAGTTGGGCACGGGCACGTGGGTCCCTGCACTGAACTGGGGCTTCAGTAAGACCAGCCAGGAGGAGAAATGGCACGTAAGGAGGTTGCCCAAGGCTGACCCCAATAGCTGGCAGAAAATAAGAATAAAAGGGTTTTCCACGTTGCAGCCCTTAGTGGTGGGTGCAAGAAAAATAAGAGTCCTTTTGCCCTTGGCTTCCCCAGAGGGCCCGGCAGTCTCTAACCCCCAGCGCTGGGGCCGACACAAGACAGGGGTTAGAGTCAGTGCTCGAGGAAAGCCAATAGCCCTGATCCTGTTTAGGGGACAACGGGGACTCTCGGGAGCTGGGCTGGGCTCCCATGAAGTGTCCCCGAAGTCCACGGCTTGGGAATGTCCTCCGGAGCTTTCTGCTCCTGTTCATGAGCTGCAGGAAACGTTAGCACGTAGCTGAGCCTTCTCCCCCCGTTCCCCCTTTCTCCCAGCCCAATGAGACCTAAAGCACTGAAAATAGGATTATTCCCCTCTCCTCTCAGCAGCTTTGCCAGTGATTGAAAGGATGCTCAGGCGGTGGCTGGATGGTGCTGAGCACGTCAAACAAAGAGGTGCAGTGCAACGAGTGGGCAAACCTCGCTGCCCCGGCATCCTCACTCGATATTTTATTCCCTGCAGTGTAGGATGCCTACAGATCCGAAGGGATTACGGATCCCATCTTATCTTCAGCGCTTTAGGAGAGGGCTAGGAGAAAGCCCGGCAGGCTGGAGGCCCCAGGGCCACCCAACGGCTTCAGGAAACGGCTGCCAGGTTTTGCCCGGGCGGCGAGGACAAGGCTGGGCTCTTGGTGCAGTGGGAGCACCAGCAGCCGTCGGCCGATGGCTGCGGGGCGGCCTCTGGTCTTGCTCGTGCAGTTTTGACACCTCGGTAACCCAAGCACATTCAGGAGGGTGTCTGCTGATTTACGCGCCCTCCCGGGTTACTGTGGGAGGATAAATCAGATTTTTAAGCCCTCGTTTTAAACCTTTCACTAGCCTGCCCCGGACCAGACCCCGCTAAATGAGATCAGTTGCTTTAGGGCTCCGCTGCTCGGCTCCCTGCAACGTCCTACCGGCCCCGGCGAGGTTGGGAATTGGCCCCTCCTCACACGCCGAGCCCTTGGGGGTTCGTTAAAGCAAATCGCTTGCACGTGGAGCGTGAGGAGGGGGCGGCTGCTGTGCGTTTTCCCCCGCAGGACCGAGCTGGGGAGATGCATGGAGGATGCAGGAACGAGGGATGTGCGGAGGTGTCGGCGGGGAGGTGGCGATACATACCCCGGCTCAGTGGGATGCAGACATGGACCAAGCCCCTTCCATCCTCCAGACGGAGAAGGCGTAGCTGAGCCTCTCGTGGGCCAGGTAGTTGCAGCTGGTGATCTTGTGGTCCAGCTCATCGCTCTGCAGGACCTGGTACAAGAAGTCTATGTAGCGGGCGGCCAGCTTGAGGGTTTGGATCTTGCTCAGCTTGTCGGAGGGCAGCGTCGGGATGATCTTCCGCAGCTCCGCGAAGGCGTCATTGAGCGACTGGGTCCGCTGGCGTTCACGCACGTTGGCGATCACGCGCTGCGTGTGCACGTCCTCAAAGGACTGCGGGACGGGGCTGCGCTTGCTCCGCTTGCCCTGCGGTGAGGGGGCACCGCAGTCCTCTGCCGGCTTGCCCCCCTGGCCACGCTTGCGGAGGCATTTCTTGTACAGCCGCTCGCCTTCCTCCTCGCTGGTGACCAGGCTGCCTTCGGGGGAGTCCGGGCACATGCTTTCCTCTTTCATCTTCTCAGCACCTTGCAGGCGAAGGGCTCTGGGGTCTCACGAGATGCGACGGCCACAGCACATCGGCAAGGCGGCCTGGAGAGCAGCCAGCGCCCACTCAAGAAGTGCAGCCTGGAGCATCAACCCTTCAGCCTCCCCGGACTTCCCAAGCCTTGCGGAGCCCTCCAAGGAGCTCGGTTGGTTTTTCCTTTGGGCTACAGAGAGGAGGGCGTTCGAATAACTTTGGGGAATGGCTCTTGCTGATAGGGCGAGGAGGACCGTGGGCGGACCAGACACAGACCAATGCAGCCGTGCAAGGTAATGCAAACATCAGTGGAGCTTATGGGTTCCAGATTTCCTCCCTCCCTCCTCCACCGACACCCCCAAGCCCTCCGGCACAGATGCTCCTGCCTGCTGCCCGGATGTCAGGGGACATTGCCTATGCTAATGTGAGCACCAGCCAGGGAGTTCAGGGGAGGCTTTTTTGGGTTTTAGTCTTTTTTTTTTTTCTTTTTTAAGCCCAGTTGACCCTGCAAAAGCCAGCCAGAAATATTCACTTGTCCACTTTGGAATAGGAGACTTTTATCTATGAGAGATTCAAGTGGAAATGTGGAGCGATGGATGTTTCGATGAGCAACGCAGGGTATTCTCTGAGTCCAAAGGAAGAAGCAACAGCGATAGGCATCCGTACTGCTCTCGAGAAATGGCATAATACAAAATGAACTTGAGCTTGCATCTATTCATCCATCCACCCACTCATCCACTCAGTCATCCATCCATCCATCCATCCATCCATCCATCCATCCATCCATCCATCCATCCATCCATCCATCTCTCTTCCTCTGTCTCTGTTTCTGGCAGGCTACGATAGCCCTTATTATACAGATGGAAGTCAATACTCATCCACCATCAAATTCTTTTCAAATAAATATGGCTGCTATTGCAGATAGAGAGGGTAGAACAGGTCCAGACCCTGTTCCTGGCTGGATCCACAGCCAGTTCTGCCCCTGATTTCCCCAGGAAATCAAGCACTATAGGCAGTATTGCTTCCTTACTCCACTCCTGAGCTTGCCTACAAATGAACCCACTTTCTCCTCCCTGCAGAAATGCTGGGAGCGTTGCATCCTCTTTTAGCCAGGGTTGGAGGTCCGGATTCAGACTACCAAGGCATAAAATATTCTGCCCAGGTCCCTCCTTATATTGAATAGTTTTCAACCCTCTGTTATCACACCAGTAGAATCAACACACGAAACTGGAGGCCACTGGTGACCCACCATCCTCCTATGCCCAGCCACCCGCTCCCAAAAAAGTCCTACACCTTTGGGAACACCTATAACCTCCTGCCTGTGCCCTCTCTGCCTCTCCAAGGTGTTTCTTCTCCAGTGCCTGTTGACCCCGTCCAAGCTGTCTCTGCTCATCACGCTCTCCTGGCATTGCTCCCCACTCCTGGTCATCGGGAGCTCCCACCCTGAGTCTCTTTGGAGGGACACCGAAGTCCTGGCACGATGTTCCTTGGGGATGTTGGGGTCTACCCCCAGCAGAGCTCCATAACCCTTGCTGAAATCTTGCTTTGTTGTTCTGTCTGATAATGAGAGCACAAAGGGGTATTATGGGAACAATATAGTTTAAAACAGCGTCAGTAATTCATCAAAGTAATTAAAATAATATCAATAAAACATAAATTGTTGAGTTGGCATGCCTGCATCTGTATAGATATTTTTAAAATTAGCTCCTTTTTATAACACACAACAAGTTTCCATATATAATGTATTTTACTAACAGAAGTATATAACGTAGTACAGAGTTCTCCTACGCTGATGAGCCTGCACCGTGCTGCAGCGGGATTCCCACCTTCCCCCAGACTGGCGGTGATGGGGATGCGGCAGCTCAGGCTGAGCACGACCAGGAGGCTGCAGGAGAACGTCCTTTAAAAGACAACGACCTTTTTTTTTTTTTCATCTTGCTGCATATAACAAATTAATATTCTCATCTTGTCAGTATTATCTTCGTCCTGAATAACCTACACTGTTGTGCTGCAGTCTTCTCCTGAACCTCTGTTCGAGAACCTCTGACCCGCTCCCTACAGCCTGAAGAGGAGGAGGAGGAGGAGGAGGATGTCCTCTCTGCTCTTTGAGGTGGGGCTGAATAAAAGCAAGCGACTTGGCCAACTTTGCTCAAGCAAGCTACACCCGTTTCCAGTAGAAAAAAAACTCAATTCAAGCCCAGCGACAAGGTATTTCGTAAAAACAAGCTCCATAGACCTGCCAAGCATCTGTAGCCTTGCTGACCAGACACGCACCCCGTTGTCCATCAGTGCTCACAGCAAAACCCTTTCCAACCCCTTTGCCTTCCTCATTACACCCGCCCAGATGCTGCTTTTTCACTCGGGAGGCAGGCACCGTACAGATGCTTTTCTCTATTTTAAGGACGTGTGTGTTTTCACATTCTTCCACGGGTTTCTCTCAAACATCCTTCATGCTGGGCGGGGGCCCAAGTGAAATAGCAACCTCAAAGAGCCACCTCGGCCCCTGTCCCAGGGAGACCTGAGCGACGCAGGACAATGATTTTGGATATGAGAGGGCTTTGGCTCAGCCCCATCCTCCCTGCGCTCGCGTCAACTTGTCAGGGATGGCAGTGGCCACGGATGGGAGCTAGCAGAGAGCCAACGCTTGAAAAAATGCCGAAGATTGCTTAAGGAAGGAAAAGATGCTCAGAAACAGGTTGATACTCAGACCTGCTGGGATGGAGCCCAGTGACTTTCCTCCTTCCTCCTCACCGAAGCCCACGGTGCCGGCAGGGCATCGGCTCAACGCATTACTCACACGCGAGCGTTGTCAAGACAGCGACTAATATCAGATGTTCATAATGCGGAAAGACAATAGATCACAGGGGCCTGGGAAAGCGAGAGAAAACAAAGGGCGAGGAAAAAATACCCCAGAGAGGGCAGGATTTAGGCAGGAGCCAGGGTCCTCTGATCCCGCACTTGGAGGAGCTGGCTCAGCGCTGCCGAGGGCTGGGGAGCTGCCAATTAACACCAGCTGGGGCGCGGGCTTGTGCCTGGCTTTTATTTTTTTATTAATTTTTTATTATTATTGTTTTCCTTTTTAAAAAAGTACGTTTAATTTAATTTCGCTGGCGAATGGCTTTGGACGAAGGAAGTGAAGTTTGGTATTGTTGCTGATATCCTTGAGCAAAAGGAGAAATACAATGAGCTTTGATCTGCGGGAAGGATCAGCTAAGCACCCCGAACTGCTCAAGCGGGCTTTTTTACCCAGATCTGGATGTTTTGTGGCAAGACTATTTTCCTTTAAACATTTCAATTTGTTCTTTCAGTGAGTGTTTTTTGGAGGAATATTAATATAAACTTTTCATGGAAAGGTCACGAGTCACCAAACTGGTTTCAATAACGTTGCTTTTCCAGCTAGCTGGGGGTTTTATAGCGCTCGTTTTGACAGATCAGTGAAAATTTCAGACCTTAAATATGCAGAGGGAAAAAAAAAAAAGCCTAGCTCACTTGATTCAGTGAGAAGCCAGCAGATGGAAGATTTGAATTCCCACCGTGTCCCAGCCCCTCTGCCCACCTCTCCTCCTGGTCCTCCTCTGCCCTCTCACCACCCACATCCATCTTTCCTGAGCAGGTTTTTTTTGGTTTAGGTAGGAAATGTCCCCGGCATTGGGGTGTCCTCAGCAGATCTGAGCCTGGAAGATGGTTTGCAGGGCTCCTGCGGGGCCAGTTAGCGCTTTGGAAAGAAAGAAAAGGTGAAAAAAAGAAAGCAAGGACACTACCAAACCACGCACGGGCAGAGAGCAAGGGAGCCCGTCGCCTGGGAACCCAGGGCTGAGGCACACCAGTAACGTCACAGAGGCTGTAGGACCTCAAATGGGAGTTCTTTTGCGGGGCGGAGGTGGGAGCCAAGGTTTCTCTAGAAAGGGGTTGAGGTGTCCCCCTCAAAAACCAAACCACATCCTTTGGTGGGCTGAAAGCACATCTTGGTCAACCTGAACCTATTTCTGTCTCTGAGCCTCACACCGCCTGTAGGTGCTCTTCGCTGGCCTGCAGTCCTGGATCTGTCTGACCCCCCGCTGCCATCTGCTTGGCTGCAAAACAAGCCAAGCCCTTTCGGTCTTTTCACCATAAGCAGGTCTCCAAAACCCCTGGTGATCCCAGCTCCACTCCATGCTGTCCCCGTGGGGGGACCAGGCTTTCCTCTCAGTCCCAGGAGAGCTGAGCATTGGCACAAACTCTTACCTCCTTTCAGGACAACTCACCGGCTCTCACAAACGTCAGACTGTTGTCCTGGGACGTCCTGGCCTCTCTCCGTCTGCCACAGGTCTGCAGGGATGGTCCACCAGAGCAAGAGGTGGACCTCTCTGCATGGTCTGAAGGACGGTGTGGCACTGCCATGCCTCCAGGTCCAGCTCCGTCCCACTCAGGACACCCCACGGGAGCGCAGAGGAACCACTTAATATAGCAAATAGAAAACATTTCTTTTAGCAATTTGCTTCTTATTCACTGGTGATGTCACATCTTTTGGCTTCTCTGAGTTGGATCGGAGTATGAGGACCTGCCCTGACCTTGTCAGACACACCGAGCTGGGTGGCTGTGATGGGAGGAGGTCTCACGGGGTAGACGGGGTCTTTGGGTTAATGCACGCTGGGGAAGAGCTCGGTACGGAGCTGATGCTCCACCACCACGGGTATAAGGATGGTGGACAGGAGGTTTCTGCATCCTTGGGTTCTGGTGGGGAGGTTGAACCCCTGATTTTTCTTGCGTTGTGTGGCATAAACCAGGGCTGCATCTGCTATAACGGTGTAAAGAGGAGTGGCTGAGAGAGCTGGGCTCAACCCGAACAACCTCCACAGACGCAACGACTTGCCCTTGGTGGGCAGAGTGGGGCTGGGACAGGACATACATCACGGTCTGCGTGCAAATGCCGTTTCGGGCCAGAGAAGCTGAGGAAGTGCCACCCCCAGCTCCACCCTCAGTTTGCTCGCTGGTAAAACGGGGCTGCAAACCTGCCCGCC